TATATAGAATTTCTGTCTTTAGATAAAAATAAAGTTTCATTGTTATGTAATAATATTTCAGAAAAACCAAGTAAACAAACAAAAACAAAGAGATCCAAATCTGTTCAAAATTCTAACTTGCCTATTATTACCAAAGACTTAATAGAAAAAATAGATGAAAAGCCTGTATATTCTATTAATACATATGCTTGTTTTAGATATAATGTTGAAAAGAATAGTAAAATTTTATCAAATTCAAAATATAAAATTGATAAGTTATAAACTCTAAAGTTTGTTTATTCTACTTTCTATTTTCTTTATTAAATAATCCAATATAACAATGAATGAAAGCATTAAGATTAGTAAAAATTTTAGTTGTACTATATATTTTTTTCTCATACCTATCATAATTTACATTTTTTTTTAAAGTTAAATTATCAAAATCTAAGCTAAAACCTACAGGAGCATGCCAATTCTTCAATGGTTCATTATTATTCTCATTTCTATTTATCTTCTATGAAATTTAATCAGATATCAAAAACTTATTACTCTGAATTGCAGTAGTATAATTTACTTCGAACTTGTTCTTAACCTTGATTATAGTTATAGGAATAATATGATCTTTTTCATTAAAAGGAATTTTTAACTCATTTTTGTCCCAATCCATAGCACATTTGTATTTTTTAAGATATGGATTTGAAAATAATAATATTGGTTTAAAAGTTCTTATAACTATATAATCTTCACATATAGTAAAATCTGGAGAAAATGTTATTAATAAATTATAGATAATATTAATAGATTCTGTTGAATAATGGCAGCCCCATTAAGATTATATATTACTGATTTATCAATCTTTTCATCTATATATTTAACAATATCTTCTGATATAATTGCAGGTTCAGCTTTATTATTAATTACTATTGCTGGAATTTTAAGTATTTGATTTTAATTAGTATAGTTGCAATACTTGTATTGGATTCTTTTTTTTTTACAAAATCAATCTTTATAGGATCATCTAATATCTCCTTTTCTTTATCTGAAGAATCAAAGATTTAAGATTTTGCCTTATTAGGTATTTCTTAAACTGGTTCTTTATAATTTGTGAAATTAGATTTTTTAATAGATAAATATATATCAAATGAGTTCTTAATTTTAATTTTGAGTTTTTCTATCCAATCTATAGATACAATACCATCAAACATTTCTAATACAATCTTTTGGAAAGACTTATTAGTAGGGCTAACATGGTTAATAACAATTGATTTATTTTAGGATTTATCAGAAGTGAAATAATTCTTCTATTTCTTTTTGTGGGATTTAGATTTTTTTTTAGAGGATGATTTAGTAGAGCACCTTTCTATAAAGATGGGTTCCTAAATTAAAGGCGAGGACATAATTCAAAAATTCTTTACTATTAAAAAAATTTTTTTTTAAATATAAGATCAAAAAAAAAACTATCAACAAAAATTTTTTACAATTTAGGCCACTTGATCCAAATGTTTTTTGAATTATGTCTCTATTAAAATAATGAATAAATAATTATGTCCCTTCAAAAAAGACATAATTGATCTGTGGAATTTTATATACTAAATAATTTAGGGACCTATCTTTACCCTTTTGCTTTATTTTTTTTTACCTTGGTAATATAAACTTTGATATTACTTTTAAATTCAAATTCAGAAGACAAATTCTTAATATTAAATCTTATCTCAGAATCAGATCCAGAATTGCTACTAGAAGAATTATTAGTATCAGAATTGAAATTTATAAAAACTTTATTAATATTATCTTTTTTTCTGAATCAGCTCTTCTTTTTATTTTTTAGACATTTAGAAGAATTTAAATGATAACCAATTCTATGGTATCTTGAGCATCTGTATTGAGATATTTTCTTAATTTTCTTCTTGATCTGTTTAGATATGGTTTTATTTATTGATAACTTATTTATATGATTAGTCAGTTCTTTATTTAAATTGACTTCAATATTTTTTGATGTATTCCCTTTATTTTTCTTAGACAAGAAGAAAGAAAATTTATCAAATACTTCTTTAAAAATTATATATATTAATAATTGTAATATAAATGGGCTTACTAAAGTACTAAGATAATCTGTTGTTTTATTCATTTGAAGCCATTCTTGATCATTTACTGTAACTGCAAATTTGAATCTCTATAAATTTTACCTGAATCCATTTGACTGGACTGTATCAACTATTTATCTTGCAATTAAGAAACGAATTGTAAAGAAATAGGCTGAAATTGTAAAGATACTATAAGAGATTTTACATAGTTTTCAATTTCTTTGGTTATATCAATATTGCTTAAATAATTATTCTTTCTATAACCTTTACTAAATAATATTGAATCTGAGTTTGAATATAAATAAGCTTCGGATAATTATTTTACTATATATTTTTCAATTTCTTCAAGTTTCAAAAATAACTTATCTAAAAATTTTTCGATTTCTAAATGATAAACTTTCATCTGGTTGGTGGGTGAAAGTCCATGAAAAAATTGTAATAGAATTTATTGTTCATCAATATTTGCAAACTTAGCTAATCTATATAAGTTAGAATAGAAATGGTCAACTGAATCACTTCCTTAAACAGTTAAATCAAAAAGTACCTGTTGTTTTTCAGCAGTAACTATAGGATAATTGATTTTAAACCAGTATAATATTTGTTTAAGTTGAATATCAGGTACAATTACAATATTACCTATATTAGTATTGGATGCATTGGATAAGCGATCAGTTGATTGTTTATTAACAAAAAACCAAGATCTTTCTTCAAATTTGATAATCTATCCTCTTCTTATTTCATTCAATGTTCAACTCTTCCTTCAGATCTCAAAAATTTAATTGAGATTTTTATGATTTATTTAAATTTTGTACAATTTTTATCAAATACTATATAAGCTGAAATTACAATATTACATTTTGTTCATTTGTATAATTTAAGATTTATACTTTAATTTGACCAATATTTTTTCCTTAAACACCAGCTAAATTTGCTTGCATTGTATTATCAAGTAAATTTCTCAATTCTCAATTTTTTCTATGAATAGTTTTTTTATATCAATCTTTAATGTTACATTTGAAAGATGCTATAAAAACACCATAAGCATTAATTCTATTAGCATGTCTAGCTCCTATATCTATTCCAGAATCTATAAGCCAAAATCTAAATTCTTTAATATGTTTTTCAGATTCTTCAATAGGATATCCATTGAATTTTTTTAATTTGTAACCCATTATACCTGTTTGATTATTATTATAATTCTATGGTATATTATTCTATAGTAATAAAATTTGGATTTGTAAATTTAAAATTAATTGCTATGAATTATGCTTCTTATTTTTTCACTTAATATGACTTGCCTTTTGATCTTTAAATTTATTATAATATCTATCAAAGAGCTGATCTCAATTATATTTTAATAATTCTTTATTAGCCTGGTATTATTATAACTCCTGTTTTAGCCAATGAATAGATACTTTATAAATAATTTCAAGAGAATACTTGAGTTTAGATTGGTTTTCTAATGCCAAGATAACATTATATAAATATCCTCGCAAATTATATCTTTGTTGGATATTATTAAGATCTTGAGTAAGTTGATTGACATGATTCTGCAAGGCATCTCATTTTGGTATAAGTTAATTGATATAGTTTTGCAATGTATCTTGTTTTAATATAAGTTAATTAATATAATTTTGTAAGGTATCTTGCTTTTGAATAAGCTGATTAATTTGATTCTGGAGATTAATATTTTGCTCTTTAAAATAATTGACATCTTGTTGCAATTGCAATACTTGATTATTTCAATTATCTCGTTGGGCTATAACACTATCTATATCCTGATATACAGACTAATAATTATGCCGAACAGTATTTAAGAAATCTCTAATGCCTTCTATAATATTGATAGGATTATTTAATGGAGTACCACCACCTTGGATATAATTTTTAATATGATTTAAGCCTCATTCGATTTGTATAAAAAGATTAAGATTTGCCATATCTATATCTTCTTCTGAATTATATAAACTTGGAGAGCTTCTTCTTAAAGAAATAACTTTGAATCTATGCCTTAAATTTTGAACCCACTCTTCTGATTCTTGTAATTGCTTCTCTATACTATTGATATAAGATATCTTGTCTCGGACCTTCTTTTTAACTTGATATAAGCTTTTTTTAAGGAATGATATTTCTAATCTCAACTTTATTTTTTCTTTCTCTGAAGCATTTTCAAGCTGTTCCAGTTCTTTATTGAGAGATTGAATCACACTGGATATATTTATGTTCCAGATCTTTATATATTTCTCATTCAACTTATTGATGGCTACCTCCGATTGTAATATCTCCTGGAGTTCTTGATTAATTTGTTCCAGCTTGAGTTCTTTATCTGTAGCTGATCTATGAGTTGTTCGATTGGGAGGTCGGGGTCTATGAAATGCCATGGTTATTATGAAGTAATGAGACTCTGTCTCTATTTTTTATGGCATATTATATTATCTTATCTCTTGACTTTGCTATAATAAGTAATATCAACAATGAGTAGATTGAGCAAGCCTATTAGTAGAATCGATCCAGATGAGGAGTTAAACTTAATTTGTAAATTGCTTTTTTACCAACCTACTGGTTACCATTCCAACCCTCAAAAGCTGTATAATGCTATCAAAGATAAAGGATATAACTTCCCATATAAAAAAATTCATGAATGGTTACATAACCAGAATGAATGGCAAAAGTATGCCCCGTCACCGAAAAATATTTCACGAGTTAGTTATGGTAAAATTTCACGTCCAAATTGTGTACAATGTGACCTCTTATTTCTTATGTATGATAAATATAAGGGGAAGACATGGAAAGCAGTATTACAAATTATAGATGTGGCTAGCAGGTTCAAGGCAAGTGTTCCCCTAACATCAAAGAATAGTTCCGAAGTTGCTAAAGCATTTAAGAAAATTTATGATAACCCTAATAACCCCCTTATCTATCCTCATATGGGAATCAATGTGCTATGTTTTATGGATGCTTGGGGATTATTGGAACGAGGCAACAAAGACTGGCGGCCAAAGCAAGTGGGGTTTAGAGACCGATTGGACTGTTGTTAAATTTGAAGAATTTATGAATTGTATGTGGAGATTTTGTTCATTCCTTTTTTTATCTTAATTCTTACAATTTGTTTCTTTCTCCTAGATCCACCAAATGAATTAACCTTTAACGATCCCGCCACAAAAATGATTGGTAATCACCCTGTTGCAAAGAAGAAAAAGAATTTGAAAAAAAAGAACTCGAAAAAGAAACAATATTGATCTGGTTTCTATATTGTATTCTCAATTTCGATTTATGTTTGCTATTAATATTACTCCACGGTTTAAAGGCTGAGGTTCCTCTACCCGATCTTAAATAGTATGAGTCTTATATCAATTTTTCTTTAGTTTTACTAAAAGCTTTGCTAATGTAAATATATCACTGATCATCGCGGGTTAAATAAAGATTTTTGCATATACTGAAGAAATATCAATCATGATTATTTTTCTTGGCAAAAATTTCAGCGAACTTGGTTCGCCCGAAATCACGTGTTTATTTTATTATAACCCTTTAGGGTTGTCCCTTCGGTCCTGAGATCTGTACAAAAATAACCATATTATTACACAGTATAAAGAATCCAGTCTGCACTAAAAATGAATTTAATTATGTATATCAAACCAAAACTAATAAGTCTAATACAGTAGGTCTAAATCTCCCAAATACGATATAATCAATAAATATGTCAGGTTTTGATATTGCTATTATTCTCGATAAGAGAGATAAAACATTACCCAAACCCTTTAACATTCGTCCTGGATATGATATGAAATATGTCGTGATATACAGTATATTGGAAATTATTTTGCTTTTGATGGAAAACGATACGACGAACTCTTCGATAATATGAGAGATCATTTGATACTCTATCTATCATAAAACAGAACGAAACACCTGTTCAATGGGCAATACGAGTAAGAATTCCATTACAAGATTTGTTAAATGCTGGAAAATTTAGTGTATATCACCGGCTATGTTTATTTATGTCATATGGTAAAGGTAAATTTAATAATTTTCATTATCATAGGCCAAGAATCCATAAAAGTCATATGGCTATTTGCTTCGATTGCTGGAAACTCATAAAAATCGATGA